GAGTACCATATGTGATTTTTAATTCCATCATATTTATCAAATAGCTGACCATGCCAACATATATTTTCAGTTTTCTTTGTCCCTTTCGAAATTTTTTTGAAAGATGACATTACATTTTTAATCACATGCCAAACGTCTTTTTGTTCCTTTACTTCTGGAAAATCGTCTTTTACGACCTTGCTCACGCTATTGTTAGAATCGTGCACGATGCAACGAACTTTAATTCCTTCCTGTTTGAAATCATTTAGAATTTCCTTTGTTGCAATTGTTTCATGTCGTTGGACAGAACTGTCATCGTGATTTGTTGATTTCACCTTATCTGCCAATACAGTATGCGTTTCGTTGCAAAGGCCAAATGTTATACTCCTCTTGGCATTGCGGAATGCAGAAAAACACGCATCGGTTTCCATGGTTATCCCAGACGCCCCACTGCCTGCTAAACTATTTTGTATCGCTCTTTCTTTAGACGCTTTGGCTTCGTTGGATATAATCGTAGATAAACGATTGCATGTTTTATTATAAACACGCTCGTTCGTGCTTCCTAATGTAGTAGCATTTAAAAATCTGGTGAATGGAGTATACATAAGTCCACTACAAACTACACCACAAGCCATTTTCTCGTTCACGAAAAATTTTGACCAACCTTCGATATAAGGCGATGACTTCCATAAAAATGTGGGCTTGCCATTTGAAATTGTGAATGTGGCCACAAAGTTCGCAAAATCTTCCAATCTAGTAACGATGACAGTTCTACTAAAATGGCAGCGTTGACCCAGGCTGTACACGGCACCAACGAGCGAATTGATGGACGACTCACACGTAACAAATAAGCGTTCACATTTACTCTGTTTCTTGGTAATGTTCACAAAACTGTTGTAGTGGAAATTGGCATCAGGAACAGCTTCATTACCAGTATCTGTGCATTTTACAGCCAGGGATAAGAAATAGTACATAACTTGCACAATCGTAGACAAATCTGGACGCTTTTTGCGGAAGCCATTCCATTGCTCGTTGAAGTTGTCCTTCTCCTCCTTACTGTTGAATGAGAGTTCGATAAACTTCTTGAACTTTTTATTCTTTGCAGCCATACTGAAAAGGAACATATAACAACATATAGTTTAGATAATATTTACAGCGAGAACAAACAACTGCAATTGTGATTATTTTCATCTTATATCACGGGGTGCCAACTATGACGTAAAACGACCGTTAATTTGAATTTTAGACCTACCCGATGTTCGAAAATCAAGGATTGTGAGTCTCATACTGCCCGATTTTCTTCAAATTTGTTTTATACAAAGCACAACAAAAATGCCTTTCTGTTGGTACATTATTTTGTTATACAGAGTCTCTCGTTTTAGCGACGTCTTGGTCCCCAGCTTTGAGAAGCGTTTTTCTCAGCTGGGGATCAAAATGCCGCAAAAACGAGAGACTCTGTACAATAAGACAATGTATCGGCAGAAAGGCATTTTTGTTTTGCTTTGTATAAAAAAAATTTGAAGAAAATCGGTGCAGTATGACACTCACAATCCTTGATTTTCGAACATCGGGTAGGTCTAAAATTCAAATTAATGGTCGTTTTACGTCATAGTTGGCACCCCGTGTATATATTGATGCTTCTCTGACATGTTTTTTCGCTTTGCTCATTCGTAATAAAATGGATATCACTCAAAACGATCATACAATATTGCATTTTGGTCCTTCAATCGTATTGCTAGCTTATTTATAGGTTTCACTGAGTCACAAAAAGTAATTTGATATGACCCATCCCAGGGACAGATCCAGAAATCAAAAAGGGAGAGGGGGGCAATACAACTTAGCATCCCTAAATGCCCTAGAAATACCTAGAAATGCCCAATAATTGTGGCCCTAAAGCACTTTAGAGCTCAACATTTTTAACTCATCTTAGGGGGGGGGGCTTGCCCAGATCCGCCATTACATCATTTGATCTCAATGAAAGAATGCTGAGGAGTGAACCGAGCAAAACATAAATCAGTATTTGTAAACAACAGATAATAAGAGAATAATCAACAAAATTAAAACATTTGGATATCTTGAGCAGTTGTACAGTTCGCCACTCTGCAATACATATTGTACATATGCCAAGGATCAGTAAGTCGTACACATGTACTTATCATTACGTGAGCAATCATCCACAACACGTTGATATTTTATATGTATCGGCCTGATAAATAATGCAGTGGAAGTTTTCAATGTTTATCCAAAATATATACCCAACACTATATCAATACATAAAAATATACCTTACGAGTTACATCTTGAATAATTATTTGCAATATAAAATATGTTACTTACCTAGATTTGTAAACATGCGAATTTATGTTTAGCACACTATTTCGACCGTCCTCTCACACCTATCTGAACCAAACTTTGGTTGGCCCTATTTATAGTCCCCGAGTACGGACAATCGCGCACTCTATATAGATTACCACACACTTTAAGTAAGCTCTAAGAATAAGATGGCTATTTATGCCACTGCAATAAAATATATGAACATTTCTCTACATCAGAATTCAGAAAATCACATCACATTTATATTAACTAACATATTGGAATGTTTTTATAGGTTGTCTATAGGTGTAATCTCGCATTAATAAAATAATAAGACAGAAAGACGTAAATATCAAAAAATAACAAGGTAACTTCTTAACAAAATTCACTGCCTGGTTGAGCACAGTATTTGAGAGAGCCGAACATAAAAAAGGTGAACGCCATAACAATACATTGCAACTTTTTCGTGGTGATATAAAAAATGATCTTTGATATTTTACCATATCACAACCTCATATCAATATACAGCTGTACAATATAATGAATAAAATGTACAAAAACTTAATATCATTCATTAACAAGTTTTAAAAAATCAAGTTTAGAAAATTATTTAGAAAAATATATGTACAAAACAAATGAAAAGCACTATCATTTCATGATGAAATGTGAAATGTAAACTTTGCAAATATCAGGATAATGCATTCTGCTATATAAAGCACTAATAATAGAATAGTAAATAGTAAGTATCTGTCATGGATCTAGTTTATGAATTCAGCGATAAAACTATACAAGTTCATGTAAGAATAAAGTATGGGTCAATAATCCAATGTTGTCTCATGCCATTCTCCCCCTAAACATATACTGATTTCTCTCAAATCTTTTTGGAATATCAATATTTCCAAACAAAATGTTATGGAATTCATTATTCTAACCCATCCCAAAGCAAATTTATGTTGTTTACAAACATTGATATACTGAATGTGTCCCTAAGACTGGGTGAGGTTTACTATGGCATGCATGTACATGTATTTAAAGTTAATATGTTTAAGTAAATTGGACACCAAAAGCTGACTTAATGAGGTCTTGATGCTATATGGTGATACCTTAGTAATTCTTTTTATCTCAAAGGTACATCCATACATTATTGATGTAATAGGCTTATGCCCGTGATTAGATTTTTAGTTACATTTAATAACGGTAACAAACTTTTGATTTTCAGAGGTATCTTCTGTGTTGTTCCTCATGTCCTCATTTCTACCTACTGCTATAGATGAGATGAGGTTTTCGGACAAATTATCACTTACATTATCAGATGTGACAATGTTGGTTTTTGTATCATTCCTGGACATGTAATTCTGTAATCCAGGGAACATGTCATTCTTTAACCCAGGGTACAAGTCATTTTGTAATATAGGGGGCATATCATTATGTAATTCAGGCGAAAGGTCATTCTGTAATCCAGAGGACATGTCATTCTTTAATTCAACCGGTGTGTCATTTGGTAATTCAGAGGATATCTCATTCTGGAATTCACTGGATGTGTCATTTGGTAATTCAGGGGATTCAGATGTGTTATCAAATATTACAGGAGACTTATCATTTGGTATCTCTAAAGACAAGTCACTTCCCTTTCCAGATGATTCATTCTGAGATTCATGGAAATCAAATTGTACAATGACTTCGTTGGGACCAATGTCATTCACAGCAGCATAATTTGCAGGTTCCTTCTCAGTGGTGCTATTCATTGGAAAAGGTTCTATGGTGGAGTCTTTACTATGTGGTTCAACATGATCATGAATAGTTGCATCATTTACTGTTTCTGGAATGTATGTGGGATTATCCTGTCCCTTGTTAAGTTGAACATCTCTGTTGGCACTATTTCTTTCCTTTCCTCTTGCCTTGAAAAATATGAGAAAAAATAATAAGTCTATGGAATAGACCACAATGAGCAATTAATAGTAAATAAATAACTGTAGGTAGACAATTTAAAGTTAGTTTAGTAAATAGTCTGATAGTACTAAGTATCAAAGTAAATAGGGTATGAGAATTACATAAATATAATTCAAGGAAAAAAATTTAGAATAGTAATTGTATGTTTCTTACAGTAATATTTATCATATTAAAAATAAGCTCATAAAAGTTTATAATGTAAAGTGCAATGTGTTATTATATCATGCAGATCCATTCCTTCAAAATTCAAATATTACAATTTCATAGATGTGAAGCTTCAATGTGTGTGCAGTTGTCCTAGAAATGAAGAAAAGTGAGCTAATCATGCAATGTTATCCAGAAACCAAAAGAGTGCATAAGTATGTGTACATCATTCTGAAACGACTGTGAAATTAATACTGTACTTCTACTTAATTTGGCGGCCATTTTAATTTGGCAGATCCACCAAATGGTTAAAGTCCTCCAAATAAAGTAACCTCCAAATTTTCTGGTAATTTTAGTACCATGTAAATTAGTACCATTAGTACATTGTAATATTACAAGTCCGCCAAATTAAGTAGCTGCCAAATGTTTAAAATAGCAAATCTGCCAAAATAAGTAGAAGTACAGTAGTGAAATACTGGCTTAGTGGCAAATATGTCACAAACTCACAGGTAATATTCAAATGAAATATCAACTATTCAATTCAATTTTGCAAATAATGCAGCATATAAAAACAAACATGAAATGAGAAAACATGGTTTATCATGTTACATGTACATATACATAATATTGTTGTAATGTTATCAAATCAAAGAATTAGTTGTTTTATATCAAGTTCTAACGCTAGTTCTATACTAAAATAAAGATATCATGTTGTTAATGTAAAATTAATTCAAAATGCACCATGCTAAGTACAACTGCATGTACAGTTCAGAAATAATTATCAATTAATCAATTATCAATAATTAATTGATAAGCTTTGAATATATTGTTTGAATAATGAATATATATGCATGCATCAATCAGGGGTAATGTGCATATCCTTGCAAATATCTTTTTATGTAGATAATTAAACAGAAACACAACATATCTATAAACCATAACATGCATCTTTGTTAGTCTTGACTAAGCATGCATGTTAATTATCATATAATGGAAAGTCAGCCTTGTAGTAACCTGGGATTGCGTATGTATAGCCATGGTTATCGTAACTGGTATGTCTTCTATCATCAACGTAGAAGTCCCTGGCAGGGTTGTAGGGGAGAGTATTAGCATGACCTGTGTGGGTATCATCAAAGAACAAGGCAGGGCCACTGCTATCATATGGTGGTGAAGAGGAGTATGCACTTGCAGCCCTATGTCCAGAGTGCGGCTGGGTGCTATATTTCACTGGGCTCATGCTTTGTTGCGGAGATCTCCCATTTATCATTGGTAGGGGTTGCCGATTGTTGTTGTCGAATGTAGGATATTGTGTCCTGACGGTGTCTCCAATAGATGATGACTGTTCTTTCTGATGTGAGGGCGGTCTGTTTTGCCTCGATGGCCTCTTTGGGGGTATGAGATCCCCAGGGGGTGGAGGCAGTGGCCTAGAATTCCTATCACTACTAGTACTATCAAGTCTCTGCATTACATGGTTGTCAAATGTCATAGGGGGAGCAGTTACCCTGTAGGGCATGTTCCTGGGGGAGGAGACTCCATGATTTGTCCCCTTTAGGGAGTTAGAACCTCCCAAAGAGTTTGTCCCCAGAGAGATGGCATCTATATCATCAAGAGTCTGCAAGTTAAAGGATGAACACAAACATTGTAGCTTCATGCATAACTGATTCTGAATTTTAATAAATTTTTTGAGGATTGCTCCCATCCCCTATTAAAAGAAAAAATAATCCATCAATCTCAATCCATACTGAGGTGAAGTCACTGAAATCAAAGAAAAACAGCTTTTTATCTTCCTTTTATACACTCCGAATCCACATCTTGAACTCACAGTACTGAACGGTACATTAAGAGTATGGTACAGTACTTTACCGTTGGAGAATGGTACCATAGGAGTATGGTACCGTACAGTACTGTTGGAAAATAAGACTCAAACAAGATTCAAAAGCCATTTGTATCATTTGCACCATTTGGTCAAGCCCAGTCTTTTTTTCTAACGCCTTCAACATGGTGAGTTATTATAAACAAGGGACTTCTACGCTGCAATAAAAAGAAACGTATGAGTGTGCATGTGGCATGAATATGGTATGAGTTGATAAAATACATGTGCAACTGGGATGATTATACTAAATTATCCCCTGGTATGATTAAATTGTAGTAAAAAACTTTCAAGTGAAACCCCCTGTTAGGAAATTGTCTCGTGGGGAGGTGTGGATATAAATGTTAAGATCTCCATTACAATTGATTATAAGGTATAAAGATTTGTGACAACACTTACATTAGTCAGGAATATTTAGGTGAAAATATTTCAAAAATATATAGAAGCAATTTTATGGTGGATTTCAAAACTTCATACCATTCTTTTGAAAACCTGAAGTGGCACCAAGCAATCCATTGACTTTTTCACCGAAAATCCAAGATGGCCGTCGCGATGTATCAAAAAATCATAAAAAATGACTAAGTTATGATTTAATAAGTCAAAATAGTTGTATACTGATCAAACATGACTAATAATAGTACCTATCAGAAATCCATATCCATTTAAAGTCATTGGATCATTTTTGTGTGAAAACTGGAGTCCCACAAGGCTCAACTTTATGTCCGCTACTTTTTTTGCATTGACCATGGCATTTGCACATAGCAATGCATAGAAATCCATTTTTGTAACATGTGCACCTAGGACCACATTTCACCTTGCACCCACACTTGATCAATGCTTTGCATGCTGCTTGAGGAAGGGCTGTTTCACCAAAAATCCAAGATGGCCGCCACAATGTATCGGCAAATCACTAAAATTGACTAATATCATCATTTAATTTGTCAAAATAGTTAAATACTGATCAAACATGACTAATTATAGTACCTTTTAGATGGTCATATGCATTTAAAGTCACTAGATTCTTTTTGTGTGAAAACTGGAGTCCCACAAGGCTCAACTTTATGTCCCCTACTTTATTAGTCCAATGACTTTCATTGACCATGGCATTTGTACATTGTAATGTATAGAAATCCATTTTTGTAACTTGTGCACCCAGGACCACATTTCACCTTGCACTCACACTTGACCAATGCTTGGCATGCCTTAGCTGCTTGAGGAAGGGATGTACATAGTGGCACCAGGGGGGACATGTCATACTGCCAGCCCCATGTTGTGAACTCCGATACCCATGTTGGATTGAGATTGTACAGTTGGCCCCAAACAATACCACCTTGGTTAGCAAGTTCTTAAAATTTTCTGTGCAAGGGCTCCTTTTGTTGGTGGCATTCTATCAATGACTGTATGGCCATCACAGAACATTTGCCTTCGTGCTGCATCGATATCTATCTGGTTGCTGGTTCGATCATATACTAGAACAGTAAAACATTTTAGGGACTGAATGGCATGAACTGACAAAGTCAGGTTTGTTGTAACCATTTGTGCTACTTGTAGAAAAGCTGGAGTAACTTCCTTGAACACATTCCATAGCTTGAAGGGCAGATTCTTTGCTATGGCCAAAGAATGGTGCAGTTATATAATATAATTTAATACCTGTAATTTTTGAGAGGTCAGAAGGCAATCCAGATTGACACTTATTGCACCCTAATGCTGCAGCCATGGCAAGAACAACTACACCAGTATTTCCACTGATTCTGTTTATGAAATCTTTTTTACCCTCTGAGGTCATCTGTTTTACCTGAACAAAGAGTCTAGTGTAGTATTAGCTTTTTCATGAGTACAAGGTTCAATCATTACTGTAACTGGCAACTGAGGAAAGCACGTAACAGATTCCACAATAGTCATAAATGTCAACCTCAAAAATAGAGTTGGCCAGGAATGCTAACAGCTCAGTCTTGTTCTGGTTGTTTCTTAGGAAGCTTAACCAAAACTGGGGCATCACATTCTCTGCATAAACCATCCATCGCCACAATGAGTCCTTGTCAGGGACTTCCTACTGTTTTATAGATAACAGATAACATCTTATCTTGAAACACCTTCCAAAGGCCGCCTTAACTTGGGATGAGACATTGGTACCATATTCTTGGAAGTTGGTAGCCACACCAGGATGCATCACATGGACCAGAAGGATGCCATCTATTAAAATTGCATCTGCAGGTGGCTTTTCCAATACTTCAGATCCATCTGGCTTAGCTTCTTGACATTTAAGAAAGTCTGCTTTTGTTGTAGGTCTCATGGCTCCGTGGTTATGTAGGGATGGCGGGAACTCATGATTTTCATATTTGAAAAGCTCAGACATGTCATTGTGTCTTGATTGGCATGCAATGTAGAGTAATAGCAAAAAGGTCATAATCTTTTCTCAGATCCTTGACTTCAGGATTCACTTGCTTGCATAGTTGGTGTGGTCTAGGGAGAAGAAAAAACAAAGAATCATCTGCAGTGATTCCTGAAGTCAAAGAACTGAGAGAAAAAAATTACGTTTTTGCTATGCACTATATTACTTGCCTTTGACAATCAAAACACATTACATGTCTGAGTTTTTCAAACATGAAAACCATGAGTTCCCGCCATCCCTAGCTAAACATGGAGCCATGAGACTTACAACTAAATGACCTACTTAAATGCCTAGAAACTAAGCCAGATGGACCCAAAGTATTGGAAAAGCCAACTGCAGATGCAGTTTTAATAGACTGCCCCTTTCTGGTCCTTTCTGGTGTTTCATCCCAAGTTAAGGCAGCTTATTAAAGGTGTTCCAAGATTAGATGTTGTCTGGAATGTTTACCTACAAAACAGTGAGAAGTCCCTAACAAGGATTTATCGTGGCACTGGTGCTAGAAGGATGATTTATGCAGAGATGCACAAATGCCAAAGAATTTACCAGCCTTTCTAACAACCAATGGAACCAGACTAGGCTGTTTGCATTCCTGGCCAACTTTATGTCTGAGGTTGATGTTAATGAAAAGCAAATGATAACTACTATTGGGGAATCTGTTCAGTGCTTTCCTCAATTGCCAGATACAGCAATGATTGAACCTTGTACTCATGAAAAAGCTGACACTAGGCTCTTTGTTCATATAAAACAGATGACCTCAGAGGGTAAAAAAGACTTTATAATCAGAAGTGGAGATACTGATGTCCCTTTTCTTGCCATAGTTGCAGCACTAGGGCGCAATAGGTGTCAATCTGGATTGCCTTCGGACCTCTCAAAAATTACAGGTATTAAATTATATTATATAACTGCACCATTCTTTGGCCATAGAAAAGAATCTGCCCTTCAATCTATGGAATGTGTTCAAGGAAGTTACTCTAGCTTTTCTGCAAGTGGCACAAATGGTTACAACAAACCTGCCTTTGTCAGTTCAAGCCATTCAGTCCCTGGAACATTTTACTGTTTTATGATATTGATCGAACCAGCAACCAGAGAGATATCAATGCAGCACGAAGGCTAATGTTCTGTAACGGTCATACAGTCATTGACAAATACCACCAACAAAAGGAACCCTTGCACAGAAAATCTTAACTTGCTAACCAAGGCGGTATAGTTTGGTGCCATAACCAAAATGGTTATCGAGTTCACAACATGTGGCTGGCAGTATGACATGTCCCTCCTGATGCCACTATGTACATCCCTTCCTCAAGCAGCTAAGGCATGCCAAGCATTGATCAAGTGTGGGTGCAAGGTGGAATGTGGTCCTAGGTGCACAAGTTACAAAAATGGATTTCTATACATTGCAATGTACAAATGCCATGGTCAATGAAAGTCATTGGACTAAAAAAGTAGGGGACATAAAGTTGAGCCTTGTAGGACTCCAGTTTTCACACAAAAATAATCTAGTGACTTTAAATGCATATGACCATCTAATAGGTACTATGATTAGTCATGTATGATCAGTATTTAACTATTTTGACAAATTAAATGATGATATTAGTCAATTTTAGTGATTTGCCGATACATTGTGGCGGCCATCTTGGATTTTTGGTGAAACAGTCAATGGATTGCTTGGTGCCACTTCAGGTTCTCAAAAGGATGGTATGAAGTTTTGAAATCCACCTAAATATTGCTTCTATATATTTTTGAAATATTCTGTGAACTTATCTCCTATTCAAACCCGACTAGTCAGGAATATTTAGGTGAAAATATTTCAAAAATATATAGAAGCAATTTTATGGTGGATTTCAAAACTTCATACCATTCTTTTGAAAACCTGAAGTGGCACCAAGCAATCCATTGACTTTTTCACCGAAAATCCAAGATGGCCGTCGCGATGTATCAAAAAATCATAAAAAATGACTAAGTTATGATTTAATAAGTCAAAATAGTTGTATACTGATCAAACATGACTAATAATAGTACCTATCAGAAATCCATATCCATTTAAAGTCATTGGATCATTTTTGTGTGAAAACTGGAGTCCCACAAGGCTCAACTTTATGTCCGCTACTTTTTTTGCATTGACCATGGCATTTGCACATAGCAATGCATAGAAATCCATTTTTGTAACATGTGCACCTAGGACCACATTTCACCTTGCACCCACACTTGATCAATGCTTTGCATGCTGCTTGAGGAAGGGCTGTTTCACCAAAAATCCAAGATGGCCGCCACAATGTATCGGCAAATCACTAAAATTGACTAATATCATCATTTAATTTGTCAAAATAGTTAAATACTGATCAAACATGAC